TGTTGTCACCATGGTAATTTGACCTAAAATGAATCTAAAAGGAAATGTGACGATATTGCCTTCTCTGATGATTTTCCTGTCTTGTATTTATTCGATGACATTAGCCATTAGAATGTCCAAGTATGTTATTAAAAATATCACATCTCACGTTTTTGCCTTGGGTATGTTATAACGCTCTACGATTTGTCTATGGAGAGTGCATTTGCGTCAGTATCAGATTTTCCATTAACGATTCTCCTATTTGATATTGCCGATTGCTAACTTAATAAATTCAAAGTTCGGTTTTTATTCACCTGCAAAGGTGACTCCATGCAATAGCACAGGAACAACGATATGATATAGTGTTTAATTGTTTCATCATTCTCTCTATGTTACGTTCATTCTACATCACATAGAATTGTATTTTGCAAACGACATCATATCATCCATAAACTACTTTATACACAGTTCTATTCGAGCAAATTTGTATTGAGTTGCATTTTTGGTTGATTAAAGGTCAATTAAAATCAGGAGCTCGTAATTAAGTTGTGTTCCCTCGTCGTTACACAATCCATCGGTCGACGCATCTAATCATGGGATTCCATGATCTAATCTAACATTGATTCCACCGATATCTTAAAGGGATATTCCTTGCTATAACCATTTTATACAACCATTTTATACAATTCGTTTTAGCAAAATATGGGAAAATGTTGTGATATGGACACAACTGACCATTTAAAAATACAGTGCTCATCTCATGTGGGTTGCCATCTTGTATTGCAAACAAGAAGTGATGTCACCAGATGTCAGGTTTACACAGTCAAAGAGTCGTACATAGTCCATAAGGCAAGAAGGTATGTAAGAAGCATAAAACAAGTTGAATGCCCCTTTTTATGTCTATGGTTTAATTCTACTGATGATCTCTTATTTTAAGTTGACAAGCCCTGAAAAATGTTCACAAAGAAAGAAGGGATCTTCTGTCTAGAGGTTATTTTGTGCTACTTTTCAACACAGTTAGGATGCACGTTTTCAAAGTTAGGAGTCGATGACATCACTTCCTGTATTACATTTTAAATACGACAGTCTAGTGGAAATGAGCACTGTATTTTAAAAGATCAATTTTGACGTTGTCAAAATGTTTTCTTATAATTTGCTAAATATGGATAGTATAATAATGGTTATAGCTATCACATCAAGAGAGAAATGGGTTTGCAAGACATGTATATCCCTTAACCAAATCTGAATGTTCTCTGCTTATTTTACTCGATTAATTTGAATATGCGGTCATCCTAACACTTCAAACTAAACCTGATTGATTTACTGAAGGTGATTTGTTAATTTGATTGCTAAATGACCTTCTAGAATTCCCAAATTTGGCCAGTCTTTCCAACACTCCAAACCTAATTTGTTTAGGTGATTTGCTTATTTTGATTAACGAACGACATTTTAGAATTCCAAATGTTGTCATTCTAGCACACTCAGTTAATTTGTTTCGGTGATTTGCTAATTTTCTAAGTGTCGAACAACCAGACTGAATTTCACATCCGGTCTCTCTAACACTTTGAAAAATAGAAAAGGGTGTAAAATATTCGAAACAATCTTTTCAAAAAGGAAATATAAATGTACATACAATCCTCATTTTGTTTTCTTGAAAAGTATTGAGATTTCCTGTTTTTATAACTCCTCCCAGGTGAAAGTAAAAAAAATCAAAAAAATCCTTACAACCTTTTCGGATTCTATTCTCAGTTCATTCGTCTCCATCGCGTCTACTTATTTTAAACTAAATTGATTTTGATGAGTTAATACCTTCTTCATTCTCATCTGACCAATCTGTCAATGTCATTCGAGTTATACCTGCCTCACGTTTTAGATCTACATGTGCTGTTGCTGTTAATTACGAAAGAACTAACAATTATGCGAGAATGACAAATGATATTGATAAAATCTAAAGAAAGAACGGTCCAATGAGATGGATCAAAGATCTTGGTTTCCCCGAGGACAGCTTTGAAATACAATATTATGCACTCCAAAAAGTGAAATTATATCTCGTGAAACAAATACATTAGTTTGAGACGAAATTGTAATATATTTTGATCGCAATAGCAAGTCACTAATCGTATCAAGGAAATACTCAAGGGTGTTGTAGATATGTATTTTTTAATCTTTTTCGATTCACAAATCTTTTTACAAATACTGGTATAATGATATTATTGAATTCGGAATTAGATCCAAAATGAACACAAACACGAATATATATTAGTTTTGTAAAAATGAATGTACGAGTGTAGCAAGTCTCTGATCCAATTGACCGACAAATGTAATTATCTTCTGAAGCTTTAAATAGAACTGACTAAATATGGGAAAATCTGCACGTAGAGAATATTATGTATTTTGTTCGGACAATCAACTGCACAAATTCACTCAATAAAATCGTCAATGGAATAATCATAATCGATAAATATGCTCATCTGTCCCAAAAGAGAAGCGGGGTCTAATGTATAACCTTAATGCAGTTATCGCCTCGATGATTTTGCCCATCATCTCTTTCATATTGTCTGATTGCGGAATTCGACCACATTTCACTGGGACTTTTAAAACGATGAGGTTGTAACTGTCGAACAATGAGAAAGCACTGTGGGATATGGCACAATCTAAACCATAACTAAGCTTTGATTACCACCGGGTCTGTGGGATATGGCACAATCTAAACCATAACTAAGCTTTGATTACCACCGGGTCTGTGGGATATGGCACAATCTAAACCATAACTAAGCTTTGATTACCACCGGGTCTGTGATTTTATATTGCATTTTATCATTCTTTCATGCCGTACATGACATAATTCACCAAATTAAGGCTCATTCGTATTCCACTGTCATATCCGATTCGCGTCTCTTCTTCCCATGACTAGATCGGGGACTAGATGTGTTTTATAGCGGAGAGATCGACTGGTTGATTTGGCCTGAATAGCGCCTAAAGACATTGCATGTCGTACATATTGTTTAGAATTCGGATTCTAATTTGATCGCATGCACAGAACGCTAGTTTTTGGCTAATTGTTGCCCATTGCTTTTCTGTGCTTTTAACCCTGGTTTGTATGACTAGATAATAAATGAATGTAGTTATAGTTTCTCCGCTATTGGCACTCAGAAGGGCAATTCTTGACAGATATAAGTGCCGCATTGAATTTAAATGATGCGTTAATATAGTACGGTGATGGCGTTGGAATATAATAAGCTGGCTTAACTGGTCAAAATTAGTTTACTTGATTCTTGGACCCTAATTGTTTACTTTATTTCTATTTTATCTATTCCAAGAGGCAAGTATCTGTATCGAAGTAATTGGCACCCAAATTGATAATTGTTGTTAATGCGGGTGAGGGATTGAACAAAATAACATTTATATTCTAGGATTTATTTTGCCAAGCATTGATGAGGTGTGCCCTGAATATGGAAATGGTTTGGCGCTATCCTCTGCCTATTTGCGAATGGAACTTATTACGTTTTACCCATCATACACGGACTGCAAGTAAAACGTAATTAAAGAAAACAATCAATCGCATAATAATGAGAAAAATGCTTCAAATGTGACTCAAATGATCCTCAAACCTAATTATATTCGTGTTAGTCAAGAGACACTATGTATTTGAAATCGGAAATCTAGCTACATTTGAAAGTAATATAAATAACTCAATGAAGGTCGCCTCCGATGAATTACTTGGAGTTCAAAGAATTAATTTCACAGTTTTATTACTGTACTAATTAGATCGACAAGCGTCTCTCTTATGTCTCTTCAGAAATAAGACAACGTATATTGATACCTCTATCTTCCCGTTCACTTTCAATTCAATTAGTTTATCCATGCAGAGATATGAGTAAATTTGGTACCAAGGCTGCAGATACGTCACCATTACTAGCGCTTCGATGATCATACCAATAATCGCAATTCTTTGATTAGCTAAATGCCTTAGAAAATGAGATTTTTCAAATGCCAGATAGAACGTTCAAAATGACTATTGGGGTTTATGGATGATAAAAGATAAATTGGTTTTATGATTCAAACGACTGGCATTTTCAGAAAAATCGGCCTAAAACCGGGTAGACGATCTACTTATTACTTTCTTATTATCATTTTCTCTGGACGTTTCCGCAATTTCTTAATTAACTTCCAGTAAGGGGGCTGATTTGACGCATTTCAGGTATCTAATCAGGTTACCTTGTACCTAGAAGAGCCCTTCTTCATTTCAAATATTTCCAATCATCTCTTTGCCAACTATCGTGTCGCACGTTGCATTCCAAGTACTACTTAATGTTGGTCTCGGATTAACCATCAAATTCATTACTTCCCAAGACAAGAATACTTGGCGGATGGATCTTCATCCATCGCATCATTCATATTTCGCCTGGAGATCACACGTCGACATGTTCTGAGTGAGACTGCAATAAGAAAGTTATCCGACTTAATCTGCCCTTAACTCCTAATAAATACGTCTTTAGTATTTAATTCAACGAGAATTATTGAACAAGGGAAGAATATGAGATAGAAGCTGGCGATTTATCCTAACTAGATTTTCTTTTTATGCGGCCATATAGTGTTAAACCTTTGCTGTGGCTTTGCCCACAAGGTGTTCGGGAGACTCGAAGTCTGCAAAGAAACGAATACTTTAACTATAACTATATTAGAGACTCTCTCTTATTAAATTACTTGGATTACTCATATTATTAAGGGCCATTATTGCAATCGGCACGACGACTGTGAACTACCTTGACTAAGCTTAGATAGGTGCACCATACGGAATTGCTATTCTCCCATGATGTCACTCATTTTTTAGTATATTATTGGGGCAAAATTGTTAAAAAGCATGCAAAAATCCCTTTCATTTTCGACACCTCATACAATACACGCACCTTTTCAAAGTTTGGTCATTTGAGGGTAAACGTCACTAGTCCAAGAATATCCAAGTGCCATACGTAAATATTTATCAAATGTTTCCTAATGTCAGAATGATGTATTTTTAGGTTCCATTAACAATATCGGAGGCTCCAAATATGAATGTGATGAGGAATCGCCGGAAGTGATAGCGGGGGTTGTTGGCGCTTCCTCCAGTGTGACGTCAATACAGGTGGCAAATCTCCTGAAACTCTTCAGGATACCTCAGGTGAGAAAAAGAAATAATACTGTGGACGTTAATGCATATAGGATACTCAAGGGTGCTTGCTCTCCTAGCTTTGATCAAGACAATATATAGGAAATAACGTCAATGCATTTATTTTGAATTGTTTATTTTTCAGACTCTAGGCCCGCAGCCGCTCCCCCCGGTCAGAAATTATTTCAGTTGGATTTATAGTCACTTTCCCACAACCATATTTGTTAAGTTCTATTAAGCTATCCATTCTATAAGAACTGTTTTGATATGTTTTCCAAGTGTGTAAATGATTTATGGAGATCACGACTCAATACTTTATTGGTGATTTATATCCTTTGATTGGTTGTGTATGTCAGCACTTGTAAAAGCATACAAGACACGTGTGATATAAATCACTCACGTTACCTGAGCGCGGGTCATACTATTCTCCTTATGTACGGTGGCCGATGCTCAGATGCTGCCTATTGCTAACAATCCGAACTAGCTGTTTTTAAATAAAAAGGTTCATTGAATTTATGATGATTAAATGTTGTAATAACCTTTTCAGACCGAGTTAACACAATTCCTGTATATAATATTAATTTAACCTCATTCATTTGATAAATGTATGATGTAATAATGCACCCATTCATCATAAACGTCAAATCTTCCGTCTAGCAATAATTTTGTGAGCTGAACATCCCAAAAGACGTCATCACAAGATATATCACAATTTGCATAACATTAGCCCATCTTCTCATATCTGAGAAGATATTATTTCTGATGATATTTATACACACAATACCGAATAGTAACATCGACATTATTAAATACAACGACGTACGCAAATGTACTAAAACTGGTTCATAAATAATTGGCTATATGCAATTAGAAATCTTGTTATCTTTGATATCCGACGTTGACAAATTGAATCACAAAATGTCTGTATTCTTAATTACGGAGCAGTGCAGCGATGGTATTCTCTCACACTTATGAAAACTCTAACTGCTTGAAACATAATGTCAGTTCAACCTTTCGAAAAGTACATCTAATCCTCGCAGAGTACCTCTAATCTATTTTTCATATTGGATTTAATAAATAATTAGCATACATTTTTAGGGGTATACTCAAATTTAAAAAGATCAATATCAGCTTTTTATAGACCCAGAGATGACATAAATGTTGTGGCTGAAAATCTGTTTTTATTGCACCTTGAAAACGTGTTATTGTCGTCTCAGGTTGATGGACGTGCGTCTATCATGCGGCCACATGCTACAAAAATCTTGTCATGAAAAAATCCAGGAAAATCGCTTCCGTTCATTTTGAATATGGTTATTAGATGCACGAGCAAACTATTGTATGTATGTATTATTTATTTGCGTCTAAAATTAGACATGCTGGGTAAATTACTTGGCAGACAGTTGGAATTTTTATTGCTGTCATCAAAATTCCACAAAAAAACACTCGGACAGTACTCAAGCAGTACAGATGGCGCTGACGTTGACATTTTTTAATCAACGGTGGTCGTTGATTAAAAAATGTATTAAAAATATTTGACTTTTCATCATAGTGATTTTGAGTTTCAATTCTATTGTTTAAAATACGAATACATAGCGGGAAAATGATCAGATCTTATGATTTCAGTGGCATTTTCTTTTGAAGATATTTCGAATTTAAGAGGGGGCATTTGGAGCTATCCTGTAAATAGGGAAAATCTTTAATCGTTGTTTGTTTGGCCTTAACACCATTTACAAATAATATAACACTGCTACCAACATGCAGGCGATCAATAAAATTACATCCGCTGAAACAGAACACGAACATATTCTTGACAAATATTTATGTTAAAGAATTCTAAAGTATAAGTTCTGTGTTTATTAACCGTAACCCATTTCGTATGCACACCACAATCCATAAGTTTTGAACCCCATTCCCTAATGGACACGACCATGTACAAAACAGGAAACATGTTAAAAATACAAATTTTACGTTTTTGTCAGAACTAATTCTAATTCACTGCATGCTTTTTGTCGGAAATTTATGGAATTGATGAATCGCCAATGGGAAATAGCTTGTCTATTGAAAAGTAAAAAAAACATGATATCTGCTCATTTAAATTATTTTTAGGAAGTTTTCGAAAATGGAACTCATTACGATTATTTCATAGATATATTATGGAAAGAATGGAAGGAATTGTCTCGGAATAGACAATGCAGCAGGCAGATGATATTCAAAATCAAGTTTCCTGGATTTCCGAGTCACGTGACACGAGCATGGGATAATAAGGCCATAAGAAGTAGATTCTTTGTTTTGCGTCCTGGCAAAATCCAAATCATGCAAGGGTACAAGAAAAACAAATACAAACTCAAGAAAAAACACAAACTTGTTTATGGGCATATAAAGGGATGACATACCAATTGAGCTAATACTAGTGCCCTTTGTTGGAAACCACTTGCATATGTGTAAACACATATACCTACACGTAAAAAGACATAAGATACTTGATATGTTAGAAACTTTTTCTAAATCTGGTCTTCCAGGGCATGAAACTCATATCTCTACAGGAGGTAGGCGCGCGCTAGTTTTTCTGCAATTTACAAATTATATACAAGGTTCGTGAGATCTGCAATAGGATCACGATGCTTGTGTGTCTTAATAATTTTTAAGATGTAATTTTTCGGCTCTTTGTGTATTTCTATGGTTGGGTTGTTATTTCCAATAATAATAGTATTTTCTTCAGTAAAGCCTTCAAAAAGTCGGCAAACAGTGCAGAATTGACTTTCATTTTCTTTTATCTCATTCTAATAAGCCGTGGATTTATAGATAGATCTTTCAATTAGTTTAGACAAAAAGTATTAGTGAAGAATCATAACATCAAATGTGACACGTACGTTAAAGCCATGATTCCTCTTCAACATTTTCCTCAAGCATTTTATACATCTCCACCCTGATGGGGATGTCATGGTCACCATGGTTATGTCGATCTCAATACAGCTTCACATATTATCATAATACGAGCTTATAGTGTACAAATAGTGACTGCCATTGAGGGAAATAGTGCAAAATATTTTCCTCAAGGGAATATCCTGTCCACTGACATGTTCCCGAGGCTGCAGGCCGAGGGAACAAGTCAGTGGACAGGATATTCCCGAGAGGAACATTTTTACACTATTTCCCGAAAATGTGGCAGTCACTATTTGTTTTATTATATACCTGATAAGTACTCTGTAAACAAAAACAAAATGAGAAGTCTTTTCATTTCAATATCAAATGTTCACAGGTTCTTATTGGCATTTAAAGGCATTTTACCTTTCAACTCCTATAATCTCAGATTTGGGGGAAGATAAAATGTACTATTGACTGGTCACATGACCTAACTGGTGATTAGTACAATTCATCTTCCCTGAAAGCAGGGATTTAGGACTTTCCAGGGAATTAGTTCATCTATTCCATGTCATGTGACCATGAATAAGCCAATGAGCATCTAGAATACATTTGAGGTATATAATAATTTGAAACATTGGTCCATCTCAATTTCAAACTCTTGGCGCAGATGGCATAGACATAACTCAGAGGGCATAGTGAGTTGTATGTCCTATAGAATCAGACAAGTTCATTGCTCTTACATGTACTTGATAATGCTCTCTTCTCAGACAAGCGTGCCTCGTGGCTAAGTTGTTCAGATGCTTCACCGTTTCTGCATTAGCAATCTCCTGAACGCTCTTACAAATTGATGTCTTGTTAGGGGCATGATGACACTAAATGTACACACTCTCAAAGGGGGCATAAATATGAATTATTTCCCAAACGCTGGGTTATTTTACTTATTCAAAGTCATAGGGATGATGATTGTGTCCCCTGGATTGTATGTAATGTAATATTTTGGATAGAACCATAGTTATTGTGACATTTTACTGATTTGGCCCTTAGAAAGACGGAAGAACAATTCCATTATAGTCGATAACCTGTCACATTTGGAAAGATTATATGTAATTAGGGTTTTCAGAAGGCATAAATATATGTATCACAATAGGATATATCAATATAGACTTATCATTCATTCAGTCAAGTACATTTTACACGCTTCTTGGAGTATATTGTAAAACAAAACATATGTTTAGATATAACTCGTCCGATGGATATGTTGCTTCGTAGTTAAAAAACATATGTGGACTTTCACCCTAGATGGAATATATCCATGTCTTCTCGGAACATGTTTTTTGATAAGCTACAAATCGCACCCAGCAGAAACCATAAATTAAACTCCATATGTTCCGAATGCACATTTATCTTAAGTACCTAATTTGTTGACAGGGAATTTTTACTTGGTATTCGCTCATAACATATGCGGTATCTCGAAGCAGTTTGATTTGCCAACCATATCTATCCATCAAACTACATGCTCTAACACTTTCCGTCATCCAGTATGATTTCACACGTTTTTGAAGTTGTCTGCCTCGCAACAGTAAGTGCGTTGCAATCAATCATGAATGTAAAATGAACACCAATGATTAAAGTGCATGCAGTGGTGCTCCAAACTTCATAATGATGATATTGTTTTCTCTTTTATGTTTTCGCATGCTGCTCACAATCCTCTAAGGGGTATAAACTCAATATAATTGATCTTAGGTTTGGAAATTGTCTTTTATCGTAAGATGCATAAATGTTGATTTTAATTTATAATCGATTGAGAAAAATTAAAACAAACAATAATTTATTTAATGTCTTAAATAATAAGCACAATTGAAAGAGTTCATGATAGTTGTAATAAAATATATTCTATTTGAAATTTTCATGAAAGTTATTCTATTTGAAGTTTTCATGAAAGTAGCTCGTTGTTATCGCGGGTCTTCAATGGAAAGGTAGTACGTTGTAGTGACGTCGATCTAATTATAAAATGACCTGCCGTGAACCATTCACGACAGTAAAGGTGGTTATCATGCATCATCTATTACCTTGGGAAGATAGCTGTTAATGAAGGAGAATGAAACGTCAAACATAGACCTTCTGCATGTCATCCAACGTACGCCTCGGTGCATTTAGGAACTCCTATCTTACTATCGTTGTGTTTCAGAGTTTATTTTAAATCCTATTGAACGTTTGCTTGCCGTGATCAAAGAATCATTCAATTGGGACATTCGCAATGCTAGGAAGTTATATTTTCAAAAACCACCAGTTACCATTTTTTCAGTTAATGTGCCAATCCATGCAAAAAATTAATTTGAAGAATTTAGTAATTGGTGAATAATTCGTTTATTTATAGCACATATATCTATTCTAAGATTCTAACATCTATCTAGAGTTTTTTAAGACTGCACAAGTACATGTACATTGCTGAGTGCTGACTGCTGAGTTTATGTTCCATGAAATGATCCCTCAACTATAACAAAATCTTAACATCAATGTGGTCCTTCTACATCTAACATCATTGATTCCAAGAATTACTGAATCAACGTTCAGCCTTCATATCATGATGATACTCGGTTTAGTAATGTTATAACCCGTTCAAGTTTTATACGTCGGTCGTTAATTTACCGGCAATTTAAAAGTTCTTTAAAGATATCCAGGACCTGAAACAGTGAAGATGAAATGTTTCGGAAAAATGTTTGTTTTTAACATCCCCTTTAATTACTGTATACATAAATATCACCCAAGGCCCAAGGGCGTAACGATATCCGGAATATTTTCTCTTTAGTTTGTGTATTTCATTCTGACAGCGCCCTTTTTAGCCCAATGTGGGCTGTTTAAGAGGCGGGGATAGCAGGCTAGAATCGGAAAAGTTAGGTATCCTTCAATAACACATAGTATTACATATAATTGCATTTTTATCAAATTTAAACAACTTGATAAGTGATTATAAAAACGATATGTGATTTAAAATTATCTTTGGAAGGAAACTGAAACCTGAATCGTTTGTTTATCTCAAGAAGGATTACATTCGTTGTGAAGAGTAAGCATTGACCTGAATGTGAAACAATCAAACTTATGGTCATTATCTCTCGTTTCATAGCTTATTCCCTATAAAATCTTTTCAAAATACCTATCTTCCTATCAGTCATCCGTTTTAATGGAGTGACACCTTGCCAATGATCCGCCAAATGGCTCATATTTATTAAAATGTTCTCAAGTTGAGCACCCTGGGTCAATGACACAGAATCGACAGAAATTACGAACTTCTCGATGCTTGGTTAAAAATGCTTATTCGAGTAAAACGCAAGTCGCTGAAAAATGGCAAGGTGCCCCACGTGGTAAATACATGTAGTACCCTTACCACTAAGTTGCTACGCCCATGAAGTCAAATGAAGTGGTAAAGTGCTTCACATGGTATTTGGAGTACCTTTTATACTAAGTTGCTTCGCCTTTGAAGTCAAATGAAGTGATTTCGATTTTATATGCAAGCTTAAACTCCCTTTGAGTAAATCGAACCCGTACCAATATCAAACATGTATGACATCTTTGAATTGAAGGCATAAGAATAGGATTGTGATGAACTCAGGTTATGTACCAACACTTGCGTAACTATATGATGATGGATTTTGAGCAAAATATGTGAGAACTCTTCTTCACCATATGTGAGCACAAGATTATTATAACAAAACATGACAATAGAAAGGGAACATCTATTAAAGAGCACAGCAGATTATAAAAAACATTATCCTACACTTAGTGTACTAAATGTATAATAACATTAAAAAATAAATTTGATATTTATGGGCAAAATGAATATCCGGAGGATATCGTCACGATACACTCCGGGCGGAGGATTTCGTGACGATATACTCCGGAAAACCCAATATGCGGAGGATATTGTGACAATATACTCCGGAAAACCCAATATGCGGAGGATATTGTGACGATATACTCCGCTTGTTGATTTCCCGCCAAATTGACTCTATTTGGCATGGAATTCATTTTGCAATGATATTATACATTTAGTACACTCCTTGTAAGTGTAGGATAATAAGAACATCCTATGATTTTTTTCAGAATATCATTTTAATCTACTCGGTGATTTATAGGATATCCTATGATTTTGAGGAATATCATTTTTATCTACGAGGTGATATTGATACCTGCACGAGAGAGCAAAGCGAACGAGTGCATATATCAATATCACCGAGTAGATTAAAATGATATTCTGAAAAAATCATAGGATGTTCTTATTATCCTACACTTACAAGGAGTGTGCTAAATGTATAATATCATTGCAAAATGAATTCCATGCCAAATAGAGTCAATTTGGCGGGAAATCAACAAGCGGAGTATATCGTCACAATATCCTCCGCATATTGGGTTTTCCGGAGTATATCGTCACGATATCCTCCGCCCGGAGTATATCGTCACGATATCCTCCGCCCGGAGTATATCGTTACGATATCCTCCGGATATTCGTTTTGCCAATAAATATCAAATTTATTCTTTAATGTTATTATACATTTAGTACACTAAGTGTAGGATAAATAGAGATTATCCTATATGAGGTTCAGGATATTGGGATTATCCCGAGGCCAATATAATATATTTGCCCGAGGGCCGCAGGTCCCGAGGGAAAATATATTATATTGGCCAAGGGATAATCCCAATATCCTGAACCGACTATAGGATAATATGTTTATCCCATACCAATCTTGGTCATCTGGTTCACATTGTTCAATCGTGGAAATATTTTACAATATTCATGTCCAGTTTTGTTTTCTTGGCCGTGGGCGGGTTTTCCTGTTCCCTCAAATATTCCCACATTTATTTTCTCGAATTTTTGATTGATTAAGTGGATGCTCCTTCCCTTTTTTCAACCATCAAACAGATCCCGATTGTCTGTGTTTTCTCCATTGTCGTGTACAGTCATTACGCGAACGTTACAAATTATGAACAAATATGCGAGCGGCGATTATGACGTAGCGGGCAGATATACTATATCTGCCCGCTCAGAGCGGGACGTATAGCTATATCTGCCCGCTGTTGAAAATATAAGTTTTTACAAACCGGCTTTATGTACCTGTAACACGTCCAAGTATGGGATAAATTGATATATGCACTCGTTCGCTTCGCTCTCTCGTGCAGATATCAATATCACCTCGTAGATAAAAATGATATTCCTCAAAATCATAGGATATCCTATAAATATCCCAAACTATATAGCGAAATCCAGTGTCTCCATAACATACAAAACCACAAGACGATGAGATCAATGGCACATTTGTAAATGAAATGGAGGGGAGTGTATGTAATTGCAGGTTCATCTCGGAAATGAAAAGTAAATAAAAAATGTTCAGCCGCCACTAAAATCCACAAAACGTATTTAACATCTGATAAGTCATCACGAAGAAATATATGCCTAGTTTGATACTTTTTCTAAACCTTTAATGCCAAGGTTTTAATATTTAATTTGTCGAGATTGGGACACTTATTTGAATCAATAATCAAAACCTACGTACAATGAATTCATATGTAGGTGAGGAAAGTAAATTTCTCGTTTTAGTGGCACCCTGCCTCATAGGTAAAAGTACTCATCATGATTTTGGTGTTGTGAAATATTGCAATATTAACCTTTTCAAAGATTTCACTTTGTTGCCCACTGAAATGAGGAAATTAATATTTGTCATATTCATGTACACAATTGTATTTAAGAATTCCATTTCAGGTCAGTTTCTTCTCTACTAGTCCTGTTCTGAGCGACAGCAACCGATACCCTTACTTCATGAGGACGATACCTTCGGACAAAAATCAGGCGGACGCTATGATAGCTCTTGTGAAACATTTCAACTGGACGTATGTGTCAGTTGTATACGAAGAATCCAGCTATGGACAATGGGTTAGTTATATACATACGGGTACAGTAATGACTCAGTCACATTTGATTTACGGCAACCGTACATTGACCGTAGCCTCAAAAAATCGAGAGAAATATGCTACGCACGCACAGCGTACGCCCGCCGTAGAGCAAATTGACTGAGGCTTTATTCTGATTGTAGTGCTTTTCTTGAGTGTATTACACTTTGTTTCCTACAAAACAGATGTGTATCTTATAGCATCCAGATATGTAAACTGTTAGATAAAAGGCGGCTACTTATGATTTTATTTTTATACCGATCTACCAAAATATTTCTAAACGTTCTTAGTTACAGTATCATACATATTGAAAGATCTCTCCAATAATACCTCGTGCGACTATAATCGTGAGTTATTTAATTAAAGAACTAAATTATGAGTATTGACTTTTTCTGAATAGCCACGTGAAATGGCTGCACACCCTATGTCGTAAATATAATCAAAATAATTTATTGTGTCATCTTTGTCGCTTTAGATGCCACATTAATGGATATTATGTCTCATTTAACCGCCTTCATACGCAAAAACACATTCTATAATCTCGTTTTTTAAATAAACGCGATTTAACCAAAGTATAATGCTGTTATCCAGGGTTTTGAGGAGGTTAAGGACCGACTTCTCCAGAATGATATCTGTTTAGCGATGTCAGACAAACTAAAGAAAGATTCTGGCGTAGCGGCCGAAGGTGCATATGATGATGTTGTAAAACGACTGAAGCAGAAATCGAATGCTAGAGGTAAATATTACTAAGTGGATTTGGTAGATGGGCTAATGATTATGTAATGCTTATGAGATAAAACTTGGCATCTTTATTTATCCCTTCGAGCCATCGGTTAGCATTGCGACTTCACACTCAATTTTTACTATTAGTGACGCAAGAACGTCGACTGGTTCTGATTGATTACTCATGGACCAGTTGCAGCACCCCTACCCCTATCGCACTATACAGCGCAAAATCATGATCATCTCGTCAAAGAAGTTATTCTTTCAAATTGATAGTTTACCATGGCTAGGTTTTCTAAGATTAAAGAAATTGTCAAATGCATTGCAAAATTAACTCAAATATATTATGTTGGAATTCAGCACTATAGCTGCTATAGTCACATCTTCAACGTCAGATATTGGATTTAACGATTCCTAAAATGTCTAGATGCCAACAGGATCCAAACATATATCAATAAAAGGATGTACCGGTGGTTATTTATGCTTCATTGATGCTATATAAATCGTATTATGGGGTTCAGTCTTATTTAGAGGTAATATACTCGAAATGAAAATGGAAAAGTAACATTAATCATAAATCTATAAAGGACTTTATCCCATGGAGAGATAAAAATGTCTTTATAAATTACGGTTTTATTGCTTCCCTGTGCTCGCGTGTTTGGCACCCATCAGACTCCATTTATATCTTTCATATCATGGTCAGTTTTGACCAGCATTCAATTCCAGTTTGCAGGTTAATCAATTATTTAGCTCAGTTTCAATTCACTTCTTAATAAATTGGCTGGCTCTGAACTTTATTATTGATAATATTTCCGTAATTATAGGTTATGTACTACCATCACTTCTACTATCAAAGTCTATTTAGTTTAGTTTATTGTCCCCAGTGAGAAATAATCATTGTCTTATATCGTGCTTGGGGCAACGATTAGACTAGTTGCCTAAGAAGTTATATCTTCTTATAGTTCTTACATGAAGAGATGTGCTATCTAGAGCAGTTTATCATCATTGCTTGGAATTTTTGAGAGTTTTGTATCCTTGGACGCGCGTGGCTTGTTCTATCGATCAAGTATACATACGTCGTACATTAAATTAATGCAATCATGTGCTGTCGGAGTTATTTGTCATTTGTATATATTGAGCTCTTATTCTGACCCACGTATATATATATAATATGAAAATGTATATACAGGGTGGGCCAAAAAACGCCACTTTTTTTTCAAAATGCTATAACTTTTTTAATTTTTGATACAAAATCATAATTCACATACCAAATGAAACTTGAGGTTCTTATCTAGCCATTGATCATGAATCATACACTTTTACTTGAATAAAATATGACACCAGCGTCTCACTTAAACATGTGGTGTGCCATGAGAAATAAGCATAATTTGCATAATGTTCCTAAACTGATACGCCCTGATGACCGCAAGCTAATAGCCTTTATTCAAACCCAAGTGAGTATAGGGCATGGGGAGGTCTCCAGGAGATGGTATGAAGGCACCCGATCTAAAAAATTGCTTAACTAAAGCTGGCAATAAAGACACATTGAAAAAAATATAGCTAACATTTCGTTGATACTGCTATATCAGCAAGGCGACTAAAACTAAAATCTATCATCAAATGGGGTGGCGGACCAATTGAACTCCTCTTTTTAGATCAAATATAATCCCAGTTGAAGGACTCGTTACATTATATTATTACTAAGAACCCTTGGCACTATATAACTGCAAAATTTGGGGTATGTAGGTTGGAAAATAAAAAAGTTATAGTGTCTTGAAAAAAAGTGGCGTTTTTTTGGCCCACCCTGTATATATACAATTTCACATCTATTGTTGACTTCTTACATCTTTGTGTTTAGGTGTGATTGTGTTTGGATCTGATCAGGAGGTTGGAGAGCTCATGAAGGCGATCAAGCGTGCGGGAATGACTGGCCACTTCAGATGGATTGGAAGCGATGGCTGGGGAGGAAGAACAATTGTTTTTAAAGATGGCAACCAACCGATGGTAAAGTGTTGTATATCAGCGCTTATGATATGTTTTCTTCCCAATAAGGAGATTGTACATCTATATGGAGGGGAGGGTCTATCAAAGTTAAAGCATTATTTGCTATTAAAGGTTACATTTGTCTGTAACTAATTATCTGATATTGAGTATATTTGAGGGAAAAAACACAATTGCTTATCATTTATATTATCACAATACTTAGTATAAACATATATTTTAGAATGCAACAATCTATCATTTAATTTAGAATTATATTTTAACTTATTTTAATATCTAACAGTAGTAACAGTGTATCATAATTCAATATTTTTCTAATATGCAACGTTAACGTTCTATCCTAAACGCGTTATATATCACAATTACTGATGATTGTAGTGAATATCTTCGGGCCTTTTCCAGGTTGAAGGAGCAGTGACTGTCCAACCGTTCGCCCAACCAATAGAAGGTTTTGAAGATTACTTTCTGAATCTCACTCCAGAGAACAACCAAAGAAATCCCTGGTTCATAGAATACTGGGAAGACTATTTCAGGTAAATATAACATGACTTTATGCCAATTATCACAGTGATTCCAGACCAATGATTATATCTAAATTAGTTAAAGATTTATTCAATTATGCACAATGTTTTGTCATCAATGGCAATAGACGTGTAGAGCTACCCGAAAACTGATGACGTAGTACAGAAAAAATTATAAGTAATGAACATAAGGATTTTTTTAAATTACGTGAGTTACGAAACATCTCTATTTACGATAAAAAGGAAACTTTCTTTGAAGCTTATCGAAACCAATCATTTTCAGGTGTAAATATAAGGACTCGTTACCGACGCCATTCAACGCGAAGTACAACACATCTTGTAGAGGTGACGAAATGCAGACAAAACAGAATGGTTACGTTGCTGAGGCGCAACTTCAGTACGTCAGTGACGCTACCCTAGCCTTCGCAGTTGCGTTAAAGGTAATTGAGTACCGTAAGCTAGAATACCGTATTCGCACTCATTAATGCAATGGCTATTTAACAAGTTTTGGTGGACCGTTAGTCAATTCATGAGTTATGCATTTGTTAATATGACACTGTTGCATAGGTTTCACACTGTCACGTGAAATACGAAGGTTCGAATGTTTGTATTATTATTTTTTGTTCATCTTCGTTCTATAACACACTTTCAGAGGATGCACCAAGACGTTTGTGGAGGAAATCCTGGCCTTTGCGCGGAGATGGACCCTGTACCAGGACAAAAACTCAAGAAATACTTGAGAGAATCGAAATTTACAGGTTTGAATTCAGAAACTCATTTTTTGAAAATACTTAAGTAATCCAACTCTTTAGTTGCTATAGGAAATCATATTGAAATAATGATATCCATATCTGTTATGAACCATCAAGAGAAAATATGACCTTCTATTAACTAACTTCTTTAGAAGGTAGAAATATTTGTTGATGATTATCAGAATGGTTGTGAACATCCTTTCATTTGTCTTGATTCTAGCTACAAATTGCATGTCCCTAAAGTGACACCACATCCCCTCCGAACATTTTCCAGCTCAACTTATGGCTCATCTTTTCCCAAGAACAATTGCAATATGTTTTCTAGTACAACAGTCGTTACTTGGGATGTATTTTGCAATATATCAGTTGCAGGGCTAATTGTGAACACAAGGTTATACATAGTGTTATTATAAATCATTGCATATCTTCATAATGTAGATTGCCTTGTGTTTATTAATTTTATCAGTTTCAGATGGTTACGAGATTATACATAACTAACTAGTTGTTAATCTAATCTGCTGAAAAATATGTGGACTGTGGAACTGAAAACCTCAAACTCATATTTACAATAATGCAAAAATGACAATTTATTAATGAAACAAACCTGACGTGCTTGTAAATCGCCTAAGCTGGAGATGTCACATTTGTCATCAGAAGCTCCTGAAATGAGATTAAAAGGTTGCCATATACCCAATGTTATTTTCCTGTAGGGGAAGCACCTGCATAGTGATCCACTATTTTCAGTCTAATCCAGTCGTCCACCCATTTTTCCTTTTAATAGGTCTAAATCGTTTGTTATGGAGATGCAATTTCGAATTTTATGATAAAAAATGAACCTTCAACTCGTAAAAGGTGACCTTCTTTTTGCCGAAACAGCTGATGGTGGATGGTTTTGTGCAGACCAAACTGTTTTAGATATATATTTAATAAGCATTTCCACTAATGAATAACCAATTGAAACAGGATTTTCATAAATCTGTGTTATTCAAACAATTTTATCATCATCACAATCAATATATAATTTTGTAGTAATATGCAATCTAATTTGTAGAACATATTTTTTTACAATTTTTATGCATGATATGTTAAAGGTCTATCAGGCGTTCCTTTTGAATTCCTGCCGAATGGTGACGGTGTTCCAAGCTACAGAATACTTAACTTCCGACGTGTACCAAGGCGTCCAGAAGAGTTTGAATGGGTTACGGTCGGGGAGTTCAGAGATGGAGAGCTAAAAGTGAGAAACTATATATAAATATATCACAACTTTAATAATTCTATTTATATTATTAGTAAACAATGTACATCTTCATTAACACTATTTACCAATAAGACACACTTATTATATTTATTGCAGATTAACAATAGCGAGATTCGGTTCACTTTGGAGGAGACTATGCCTATGTCGGCTTGTTCTAAACCATGCAAAGCAGATGAAGCTATTATATATGTATCGAAAACAAAATGCTGCTGGTCGTGTGTCAAATGTTACACATACCAGTACATAACAGCTAATGGGGAGGAATGTAAAGAGTGTCCATACGGAACTCGTCCAAGTGAGAAGAAGGATAGGTGTCTCCCGATCCCTGAGGAATATCTACGGTACAATAGTGGTATTGCTATCACAGCTATGGCAATTTCTACAATCGGAATTATTGCTACCTCTTATATTATCATAGTGTTTATAAAGTACAAGGATACGCCGGTTGTCAAGGCCTCTGGGCGAGAGTTAAGCTTTGTCCTTCTTATAGGGATCCTTATGTGCTATGCCCTTACTTTTCTGTTAGTGGCGAAACCGACAGATATTATTTGTGGAAGTCAGAGAATAGGAGTTGGGTTCTGTTTTTCCATTTGCTACGCTGCTGTACTTACAAAGACTAATAGAATAGCAAGAATATTTAGGTCTGGCAAAAGGACAGCTAAGAGACCTAAATTCATCAGCCCGAAATCGCAACTGATAATCTGTGCATCAGTAGTTGCAGTTCAAATTATCATAGGTGCTATATGGTTGGTACTGCGACCACCAAAATCAACTTACCATTTCCCGACACGGGAGGAGAACCAACTAGTTTGTGAGTCCGCAATTGGGCCACAGTACATTATAGGATTCATGTACCCAATCGTTCTCATTATGGTCTGTACATTTTATGCATTTCTCACTCGAAGGATACCAGAAGCATTCAACGAATCAAAACATATAGGATTCACTATGTACACAACGTGCATCATTTGGTTGGCGTTTGTACCTATATACTTTAGCACTGCCAACAACATTGAGATCCGCTTGGCCACGATGTGTTTTAGCATCAGCCTAAGCGGGACTGTCCTATTGGCGTGCATGTTTACTCCTAAACTGTATATTATAATATTACACCCGGAGAGGAATATAAGACAATCGATGATGTCAGGTAAATTGACCAGCAAAACAAACAACAGCAACTCAGCACGAATGGATTCTGGTACCCAATCTGATGGTAAGTGACATGAGTCTCTGTAACACCCCCCCCTATATATATACTTCATCCACCAAACTGATGAAGGATGTGAAAGGCTTATCAATTTTACAAAAGTATTTTTAATTCATATTTGGTATTAAATTAGATGTACGCGATGAAGGCAAATAAAAACTGTATTAAACTTAAAAGATGGCACTCTTTCTTAAGACCGTAGCATTATTATTTTGTGATGTTTTCAATTGCTGGACCTAAATTGATTCTCACTTCAAAGGATAAACGAACATCAACTTTTTTATTTGCTTTTCAGCTGAGATGGAAATGTGCGAGCGCTTGAAGACGTCATGCTCCATCAGCAGTGGTCTGAGTACCAAGTCAACATGTGGAACTCAAACCCTCAGTAACGGCACTGGAACCACCATCAGTACTCAAACCTTAAACAGCATTGGACTACAGTTTGCTTGTGAATTCGACGATATGGATGTGCAACTATGATATTTGATGTATATATAGTCACATATATTTCACATTGATATCATTCAATTGTAATATCTATTTGAGTTGCTCGATTTTATTTCTACCGTTTATAGAAGCTTGTATATTGACTATTAAGCCTAAAGTATGTATTTGATAACCTGATGGACAGCAGATATATTTACGTTTTGAATAGATTATGTTGTGAAACATGCATCACACCAAACTTATTGATATAATTATGATGCTTAGATAATGTATGAAAACACGTGATATTCATTCATGTGAAACGAGTGGGGGTTCACATGAAGGAAGACTCACAAAATTTGCAAAACAAAAATATTAGCAGCTCAGTGTATGAAAATATGCGAAAAATATCTCAACTATATATTCACGTTGTTCAGATATTCGTGTAAAATGTAAGAATAAAGCATTGTTCTAAAACCGTTTGTAAATACCGTGGAGTTTCTTGATAAACATGCTATTAAGGATTGCTAATCACTTAAAGGGTTAATGAAAGATTGACTTCTAGTTCGATATACATTAGGAGGTTAAGTTACACGTTTTATGAGAACCTTTACGCGAGTGTGTTATATTACTAACTATTACTGTCCCGTTCTCAACTCAGTTTCCAAGGACCTAATTGCAATTATTTTCCCTATACCGTTATACTCAATCAGAACATAATTTTACTCGTCCACGTACAAGTATTTCTAAAAACGTCTAACTTAACCTTCTTATTATCTTCGGTGATCAGCCATATGGCTTTCTTAATAACAATTTGTTCATAACTTTAGAAACATTATCTAAAGAAATGGAAACAACATTTTAAATATATTTTTTCAAGTTGAATGGATAAGCAATTTTTCTAGAATTTCGATGACAAAATACAAAAAGGCCTCCAAGTGATTTACCCAGACACTAGTCTTTTTTTGCATGATGTAATTAACCAAGGAATTTTGCATTCAAAATGGCCGATTTATACAAATGAATCAAAATGGCTGCCATGTTATATTCATCAGATGTTGACTTTAGTCTACTTTTGCATCTGTAAAATGTCAAGTCAAACAGATATCTGGTTTTCCTAAAATTTTGAAAACAAGATTTATTGAAAAATTAAAAATGTCCACTAAGTGATTTACCCTGAAACTAGCCTGCTCTTGTATATGTTAAAATTATACGTATAACAGGTAAGTTGTTTTCCCGGAATTTTGATTACAAGATTTGAAAGTGGCGCCCGCCCAGACAGAAGCAGTTCGCACGGGTATCATCAAGATGGCGACAATATTGCACTTTAAGAGAACGCAATAAACGCATTTTAGGTCAAAATGCCATCTTTGTATTCCATCGAGATTTAGTACGACTTTCTTACGACCCATAATGCCATCTTTACATACTAATATTTTATATTTGCTAGCATATTAGAATAATGCGATCTCCTATGTATGGTGTGTCGGAATAGTATGTTGAATACTAGCACTGCCAGGGAGTATGAGAACTATAGACCATCGTAGGACATACTGACAAATCTGACATCTATGTAGGCATCCAAGTTCAATACAATTGCAATCTACACTGTAGTTTTGACCCATTTCATCCTGCTATAACATGACGGTTACGCCACCTCTGAAAACGAGGTTAGACGGCTACGTTCACTGATTTATCCAATAAAATGGCCGCGATGGAACAGAAACTAAGGTTGGTGCACTATTTTCTACTACTGTGTATCAATGAAAGGATGAACGATTTATGTAAGCATCGCATTCGGTGATGCATTTAGTAATGTATATTTTGAACGTAGTCTTTGCAAATTGATGCCCGGGGATAACATGAAATAAGCAAAAAACTGTTGAGTTTTGAATTCAAAACTACACAAAATTTAGTACACAGTGTAATTTGTTTATTTTTGTCGTGAGGGCATAATCCACATTGCCTAACGACCTCGGGGTTATAACCGAGATACGATCATAAAAAGCCAATTGAGCATCGGGAACCACCTAATATGTTCTTCTCAAGCCATAATAATGTAATTTGAATTTGCGGTTATGCAAAAAAATTGATGGACGGTTACGCGAACCGCGTTCAAATATGTATCCCCGATTTATTGTTATTAATCTTGTCATATTCATCAGTGCTAAATCTTCGTTTGCCTCTTCATTGCTATCTAGCTTTTTGACTTTCATTGGTTTCATAAATAAAGCAAGACACAATTTTTCCTTGCCCTATAGAGGCTCAAACAAGAGCGTCTCTTGCGAGTCCTGAAAACAAATATAAGCAATTCAATATTCCATTTTTACCCATTATAACAATGACATGGAAAGAGGCTATCAGAACTAGCAACCTTGACTTGAAAGATGTACATGCACGTAACCGTCCGCTAAATATCTAATGTACAACTAATACAATACTGTACAATACCGTCCATAGAATTCATACGTAGTCGTCTAACGACATTGCGTTTGAAACCTTCTTATTTACAATATACAGCACGTTCCTGTTCTGGATTTGTCATTTTATGGCTTGTTGAGGCACATGTACTGAGAAAACACGAGAATGGACTAAAAATATGAACTTGGATATCTCAGTCGTTAAGTTTACAGCTTATATTCTGCTTCTAGTAAACCACCTGGCAGATCCAGTCTTTATAACCATCAATATATACATCACCGAATGGAATTAGTTGAAAAGGAAATCTTATCTGTGAATCTTGCCTATAGCACTGATGATCCGCTCGATTACCCGTTTCGGTAACAAAATGTCGGAACGTCGAAGGTATGATTTTTCCTTTTTCCTTATTTCACGCGTTGTAGGCAGAATCCCCACGGCGTTTTTTTTCACACAAACGTGTATCAGTATCATATGTTTTAGAAAATCTACATGTTTGCGAAAAATAGCTCAGAAGACAACAGAACTTTTGGTTAAAATTGCAGATCTTAATTGTTTTTCGAAATACCGTTTATGTAACTTAAGTGAAGAATTAAATTGACGATTTCGTTGACTTCTGCACTATTTGTTCGTTATGTGTACATTTTCTTAATCATATGATACTGATACACGTTTGTGGATTCTGTCTACAACGTCACGGGGGATAAGCAAAACGAGGGCGAAGCCACGGACTGCGACTCGCGTAACTTTACACCGCAGCCCAGCGCCAAAATGGAGGGACATCCGGCAGTGCCTTCTGCTTCTTCCGACAAAATAGAGAAATCCAGGTATTTTAAATGCTATCGTAGTGTCTAATCGGTGACCAAAATATTACTCTGTATCTACTGTTGGTCTGTAGATAAGAAAATAAGCAGTTGTCCAGATCAAGCTAAAACAGTAGCAAAGTTCTGATTTTACCTGTAAAATATGTGCATATTATTTAATTTACTATACATTTGAAAGGAGTTTTAACACGTTTCTGATATCTAAAGGTTAGTTGAGGCTCCGAGTATAATTCGTGAAAATGATTTGATAATAGAATGTGTTCATGAGGAGAAAATTAGATTTAAACTGCGCATTCATAGTGGACGCAGTCCAGTAAACAAAGCTATTTCAACAACGCAACACAGCCCCCATTGATATTCTAAGCAACGCAGTCCATAGAATCATTATATTGAGATGAATACGATTCAAAAAGTGGTATATCATCTTATGAAATTGTAATTTGTATTCTATACTCATACAATGCACATGTTATGTCAAAATAAATACAGTATGTTTGTAACCAATCAAAAAAGATCACATTTTTCACAAAACGTAGTTTATGCCTTTTAACAATCAAAAGCGTCTGTTATGGAGCTTTGTTCTTATTGACTCAAGACGAAACTTCGATTATTAATAATTAAAAAATGATTGACATATCCTCATATTCACTCGTGGTATTGTACGTTCGCTCGTGCATGTATCATAATTCATTCCATAGAAGGGTGCCAAATAAGTCCCGCACCCCCCCCCCCCCCCCTACACCAAAAATCACCAAGTGTGACATATCATTGGAAAGATCATTCAAAGTTACGTTGATTAACATATATCTATTACCTGAATCAATGTCCCAAATTGCTATATTGTATCGTTTAAGACCTAGAAATATGGCAATTCAATAGCGTATTTGGCAGAACAGTCGAGCGCAAGATGACAACGTAATATGTTTATTACAAACCAATTTGTGGATAGGGTTAAATATATAGATAATTGGATAGTGGTGAGACTTTTTATAAGAAGTAGAAATGCGAAACAATTAACTTTTTGATGATGCAATAAAAGCTGTTGGGGAAGGGTACATTAACTAGTATTTAAGATATCAGGAAAATATCAAATAATTGGAGAGTTGGTGAGTTAATGTAATTTTGGATGATCTTTCCAACATTCCATCAATATTGCTAGCTACCATAAATTCATGATTTCAGCTGCATTTGACAGCTTGTATATATTTGCAGAATGGATTGAGACACGATGTAGGTCTATTAAAATAGCCCTTTATATTCAATTTTGTCCAAAGTTGCTCCATTTCGGCCACACCTGTACACACATTGTGCTATCTACCTTTGGCTGTGATTGCGTTCAGCTTCAGATATAAAGCAACACTGAGTCGCGGACTGCGTTGGGCAGATGGATGGACTGCGACTATTATAAATTCCAATTTTCTATGTAATTGTACGTTTTCCGCTTACCAAATATCACACGAAGATGTAATTGTAACAACAGAACATGAATAATTATATTAATTCGATGTCATTTCTGATTCCTTTGTTTAAATCGGTATATTAGGGACAAATATTGACAAAATTACATTTTTTGTGGCAGATTTCGAATTCATTTGTGTTCATGCTAAACTATTGGACAGCCGAGCACCAAGAATGCCATTGCAGGTGGAGTATGAATATGTTGATCACCGACTGGAACATACTAGCTATTCTGTAGAATATCCAAACCAATAATCTACCCCAAATCCTAACATGCCTTCCAAATTAAGTTTGGATTTACCGCCATTGTTCAGCTATAATGCGTTGTAACCTCGTTTTGAACTACGCGAGTCG